TGCTTACTTATGTGTCATCAAGTCAGTATAGACTCTCAGTGACCATGTATATTTTTTCCATGTATGATCATCTTGCTTAGCTTTTTTTTTTTTTCCAAATCAGCCAAAGTTGGATAGACTATGTAATATATGCAGTAATAAAAATGTACACAGAAAAGTTAACATATTCTATTAGGTTGCAGCAGATAAACCTGGAGAATAAAATAATCTATTCTGTGATAGACAAACTTATTCAACTCTTGTCCCCATGCTTGAGTTAGTTCTAGCCAGCTAGTTATTAAAATGATTATTATTTAACTTTATAAACTCATTCCTATGTTTGCTTTTTTCTCCTTTCGTTCCTTTTCTTTGGCTTTTTAGAGTGGGATAAAAATACTTTGAATGACCAAATAAAGCACAGATGCCACCATAAGAAATAGGAACTCAAGACATTGCTTAGTGATTCTCTAAAATGGGCATCTGACATATTCCACCGCACTGTAGTTTCATCAGCAATAGTTCAATAGTTTGAGATGCTAGAGGGGATCAACACATCGACAGTAATAGATTATTTTGGTGACTAATGAAACAACTGGCCCAAAATGGAGACATTAAGGGACTGCTGTCCTCTCTTTTGACTCCTATACCTGATTAATCAAGTCCTTCAGATGCATTGAAAATACAACTCTACAAATTCTGGGAGCTGTAGTTGTCAGAGGGTGCTAAATTGAATAAAAAAGTGTGGAATCATTTGTGCTGTCTCAGCTTGTTTGTTTTCTTGCAGACTTTTCATTAACCAATTAGGTAATATCTTCAGGGCTAGCTGGATAAAATTCTGTTTATATAATCTTATGACAAAAAGACTCCCACAAACATATTCTCTGAAGGACTACTAACCTTGACTATTTCAAAGATAATATTGTGTAGCTTTTCAAATTTATAATTCACTGGGATATACAGAGATCAGATAATGGCTTATATTATGCTTTGGGACAAAATTGCTCTTCCTCCATGAAAATGACCTGTGTGGTTTATTCTGTTTCTTAAACGTGCAATGCTGAATGTAATTCTAGAGAGAATCAACCAGTCACCTGTCACCAAAACATATGCATTCTTCTTTGGAAGTAACCCCATTGACATCAGGTCAATGCATTCCAAGTACACTCTTGATTGTAGTTTCCCTCCGGTACTTCTCACTGCTAGGAGAATGTCAAGAATCCTAAGCATGGCCCTCCAACACACATGAGAGCAAGACACCCAGTGCAATCTCTCTGGCAACCTGCTTGGTGCTGGATAATCAGAAAAGAAAGTGTGAGTCATCCTCCTTCTTGGGTTGAAATGAGAATTGGTGCCCAATGCATGAGCTGAGGGAAAGCTGCTTATCATTTAAGTACCATATAACTAGATTTGGAAATCACCACCCCTGCTTTTTCTGGAAAGATTACACAAAAGAACAGCTGTAAAATGGCCTGTCTTCCCATTTTAATGACTTCAATTAATGAATTGCTTTGTTTCAAGCATTTGGCTACTTTCCAAACTATTAAAAAAGTTTCTTGCCTCGAAAATCCATAATCAAGCACTTGGACTGATTTACAATTTCCAGCATGACTTCTGACAGAAGGAACGAAATATATTGAACTTTCTATCCTATTCCAAAATAGGGCTGGGGCTTGGGGCTGGCATATAGATGCTTATTAAGTCTGTCCTCACTTCCGAAGGTATTGAGAAGAATTGCTTTGGATCCTGCACAAGCTCTATTGCTCCGTTCATTCAACCAGCCCCACCTTTTCAGGCTTTCATGTGGCTCTGGAAAAAAAAAGTTGCAAGTATTTGAAGGACTCAAAATCAGCTGCATTTTTCGGGTTCCTGCAGAACCTGGAAGAATAGCAGTGGTACTGTTGTGCTCTGCGCATTCTTCTGTGAAGTACTCATCTGAATCATTTTCAAAGCACGCACCACCCTACAATTCATGTCCTTAAAGATCTCCAGTGTTGGAGCACCCACAACCGCTGGAGGCAAGTGGAGGTGATGGACACTGGGATGACATGAGCCTTGTTCCAGCTGTTCTGGCTGAGATCTCACCTGGCCAATCCCACCCCCGCAGCTGTTCTTCATACCACATTTGCTTGTCTCCTGATTACATGTTGTCTAACTTGCTTTATTAGACATGCCAGATGCTGGGAGAGGGAGCCCTTGCCAGGAAAAGAGGTGTCTCTCATAGAGTTTGATTCCAATATATACAGTAGGTGAATTAGCATGGCTTTGTTTATGCCACACAAATCACCAAATGAATTGAAACAAGTCGTGAGCACGGATCAGGCAGATTGGCTGATGACAGGCAACAGAGGACCATGGGTGTCATAAGGCCTAACCACAGCCCCTGTCTGCTGCCCTCAAGTGCCACCCTATTACTTCATCGGGACTGAAATATGCAATTGTCACATCATCTGGCTTCTTTAGGTGGAATGGAAAAGAGAGATTGATCTAAATGTAGAGATGCTACACAGATCTCAATATCATTCTGCCCAGAAGATTTTAATGTAAATACAATGTAGGTGTTCCTTAATTATCAATCCATTTGGTTTTTTTTTTTAATTTAAGGACGCTCTTGTCCAAAGATAAGTAACAGAGAGGGTAAAGGGAGAGGGAGGAAAGCTTTTGGAGCATTTTCATTCTCAAAGTTAAATAAAAAGGCACCATCTGTAACCCATCAAAAGATGGGTTAGATGAGGTCCCCAAGCTTCTTAAAAATGTTTCTCAGCCTGCTTTGGCCTCACCCACCATTATTATAATCCCTGTAATCTTCCTCCCTTACTTACATTGTTTTGGCCACCCAATGCAACCCCAATCAATACCTTAGGTCAGGGGGTGTAAAACTGCCGACCCACGGGCCGGTTGCATCATGTAGAGGCCGCACCCACCCCAGCTCTGGCAATGCAAAAAATGTCACGATACATCGCAACACGTCATGTGTCATGGCAAGTTTGACACCCGTGCCTTAGGTCAATATTATGAGATGCTGAAAATTATAACTCAGGTGTACCTGAAAGCCCACTAGTTTCTCAATCCTGATTTGTTTACTGGATACCTAAATAGTAGCAATTTTCTTTGATCTATGAGACTGGGTTTCAAAAAGCTACCTAAGGGGAATAAGGCCCACTCAATATATATTTTGAACATGCAAAGGATATCCCTTTTGAACATGCAAAGGATATCCCTTTAAAAAATTCATCATGATAAGGATGATAATATAAGAAGAAAAGTAGCATAAGGAGAAGAATTTTTTTTAAGAGGGCACACCAGTAGTGCCTTTATTTACTGTTCAATTAATCAAACAATGTTGCTGACCACCTTCTTAACATATTTAGCAACATTAAATTGCAAACATATGTCCAAGATATTTTACTTTAGATATATATATATATGGTGGAGACTTTGGGTTTCATCAACAGACATAGACATTTTAGAAGAAAGAATAATGCATAGAAATACAATTGTAAAACATTTTTAAGATAACAATTCAGAAGAACGAAGGAGTTAGAATAATTTGTTCAGGACAGGAAAGAAGTCAAACGTTTCTCTCCTAAGGATAATTTTGCATGCCCTAAGTCCAAAATATGCAGGTTAATGTCAACAGTAAAATAAGGAGGCATGAAATTTAGACTCCAATCATGAGTTAAAGAAGGAAATCCTAAAAAATAAGGAAGAAAACATTGCCGATCTTTAAAATTGCGCCTTATTTTCCATTTGAAAAATGCAACCTAACACAGCTTGAAAGCTTGGATTTGACTGCTGATCTTATTTCTACAGTATGGAAGGTGGGGCAGGGCAAATACCTTTTAAGGAGTAAATCTATCTTTACTTTGTGTTACCCATATGATGAAAAGCTATACAGATTGCATTGCCACGCAGGAAAAATACAAAGTGATTTTACTTTTACTAGAAAACAAATGCAAGGGCAGTGATTCATTTACTTATGCAATTGAGAGGACACTAGTCAAATATCAATCCTCAGCAAAGTAACTTGGGACTACTAAACTCCAATGAGTCCAGACAGATATACTTTGGCATCAATACAACAGGCAATTGTTGCTGTTGTGGTCAATGCTGCTGGATGTGGAGAAAGGAATCATTTCAGAGAGAGAATCCAGCCGGAAGTATTTGCCAACAGCTAAGCTGGGTGGGGCTGCAGCCCCAGCAGTAACTAATAATATTTTCCAGAGCCTATAAAAGCAGCTTTTTACTTGATGGAATTTGGGAGCCCAGATTTATGTTGATTCGTTTTTGTTTTTTTTCCAGTTTAGGGATAATGAGTTTCAGCAAGGCTTCAAGTTGCACCAATTTATTAGATATTTTGTACATGATCTACCTGTAAGGGGAAACTAATACTTAAAACATACCAAATATAAAGGAATTATGAATATGTGGAGAAAATGTGAGAGCTACGCTGATTGCAGTACAGGTAATCCTCCACTTACAACATTTGTTTAGTGACCATTCAAAGCTACATCACTGAAAAAAGTGAGTTATGACTATTTTTCACACACCACTGCAGCATGCCCATGGTCACCTGATAAAAATTCAGACACTTGGCAACTGACTCATATTTATGACAGGTGCAGGTTCCCGGGGTCATGTAAATCACCTTTTGCAACCTTCTGCCAAGCAAAGTCAACAGGAGAGCCAGATTCACTTAACAACTATGTTACTAACTTAAAAACCGTAGTGATTCACTTAACAACTGTGATAAGAAAGGTTGTAAAATGGGGCAAAATTCTCTTAACCAATGTTTCACCTACCAATATAAATTTTGGGCTTAACTGTGCTCGTATGTCGAGGTTTATAGTCCACTGTTCCTTCCAGGAGAAGAGGGTATCCGACCGTGTCCCCACTTTGCGCCCCACCTTGCGCCGCGTTTAATTCCCACAACTTTACTTTTGCAAAAGCTCAATGGGGAAGGAGAATTTCTTTGGGGCCCCTCCTCAAACCTACAATCTCCCTCGCTCCTCGCGCATACCGACCTGGAAGATGAGCACCTTGAAGTGGTTGCGGCGCAAGAGCTGCGCGTGGTTGTGCTCCAAGCGCTTCACCTGGGCGCACTGGCGGTCCATGCGGTCGCGCACTTCGCGCGTGTTGGCGCTGACCTTGCGCGACTTCTCCAGCAGCTTGGCCACCGTGTTGCTGGTGGAGGTGTGGTTCTTGCACAGCTTGCTCAGGTCGCTCTGGATGCCCTTCACCGAACCCTCCAGCTCGATCTGCCGGTGCTCCATCTTCTGCTGGTTCTCCTGCACCGAGTCCAGCATGTTCACCAGCTTGTCCAAGAGAGTCAGCACCGTGATGGCGTTCACTTGCGAGCTGTCCCGAATCGCCTCGCCCGGCGCTGGCGGCAGCAGGCTGGGGCTGCGGCTGCCCGAGGGCACCGGGCTGGGATTGCTGGCATCCAGAGGCCCATCGGAGCTGGGAGAAACGCACGCGCTGCTCTTCTCCGCTTGCACTCCGTCCTCCCCCATCGCGACCAGGCTAGAGACGTGGGCCGCTGCGATCAGCTCCCTCTCTCGGGTGTCTTCTTGAGGAAGGCAGGAATGCAATCTGCCCCAGCACCGAGCACCTTGTAAAGGCTTCTTTGCAGTAGCCGAAAACTTGAGAAAAACTCGGCGCAGCCCCGCCCTATCTGATCTCCAGATTCTGAAACCAGGAAGGGTTCAAGCCCGGAGTTTGTTGCCTGCAGGTTTAAGTTTTCCCCCTCCGTCCTTCCCTCCTCGCCCTCTTTTCTTTACGGGCGGAATGTCATATTTCACTCATGAGTTCACTGGCAAAGGCGGGGGCAAAAAAAAAAAAGAGGAAAAAAAACACACACACAGGCCTGGCTTTGCGCCGCAGCCCGCCATTGGTTACGGCCAGCGTGTAAACTTTCGGGCGGGCTGCTCTGCTGCGGAGACAGCGCGAGGAATCCCCTCCCAGTGTTCCCTTCCTGTTTTGTGTGTGTGTTTGTGTCTGTAGGGTTTTTTTTTTTTTTTTTTTTTTTTAAAAAAACGACTTTATGGAAAGAATTGTTTGCGTTTGTTCTTCCTCTGGCAGAAAGCAAGGAAATGGCAGAGGGAAAGTACAACCCGAGAACATATTATTTATGTGGGGTGACGAGAAGGACTTATTTTGAATGGGGAACCTGACTGATCATTATTCCTGATCCTATCAAAACTGCCCCTTTGCCTAAAGAGTGTGGGGAGGCGGGAGGATGAGTAGTAATCATCAACGTGGGTAATCGTCTTCCTGCTCAGGTTGATTACAATTTTGAAAGTGCATGAAGAAAACAAACCAAACCTTGGGGAAATATAAAAGCCTTAGGGAAATATAAAGCCCGGCTTTCAATTTACTCAAATGCACCCAAGTTGGCTAAAAGCAGTAGTTAATGAAAATCATCCTAAACATAAATGGACTGAGGCCTGCTTTGGCATCACACTAATCCAAGCATCCTATTAGAAGTCTCCATACTTCATCAGGAGTATTGCCTTTATTTGAGGCAGGCATTTCTATGTTTAAATGTGATCGGGATTCAGTGAAGTTTGAGAATCCTGAAGAATTCAAGGAGTCAGTGGGATTTGTGTTTAAAGTTGATCTGGATTGAAACAGTCCAGATGACATGCAGAAAAGAGATATTGTATATCAGTGGAGGCGAACCTATGGCACGGGTGCCAGAGGCGGCACTCAGAGCCCTCTCTGTGGGCACGCGCGCCGTCGCCCCAATCCTAGGCCTTCAGCTGGGTTTTATAAAACCTTTTCGCTTTAGGCCTCCGCCGCCATGTGCAAAAAAAAAAAAGATTCAATCTATCAGTCAATTTCAACTTCTTGCGGGGAAAAAAAGATCTTGCAAAGTTGGAATTGATTGAACTTCTTAGTCCCACCCAGTCTGCCGTTACCACCGTGGCCACGCCCACCCAATGGGCCACACCCACCCAATGGGCCACACCCACCCGGCACCTGACGATGCATAAATGGGTTTTGGGTTGCAGTTTGGGCACTCGGTCTCTAAAAGGTTCGCCATCACTGCTGTATATTCTTAATCTACTGCCACAATTTTAGTGGTTATATGGATTTTGTAGTTCACATAGTTTAACCTATTGAAGGTCTCACAAGAGGGCACTTACTAAATAGAGTAGAATTATGTCTGCTACATTCTCTATTTCATCTGGTCCATTAAATCCCTGGTACACACCTGTGGTGTCTACCTGCTCAGTTGGATGAAAGTGGACTGTTGCACCTTGAATTATCCCTATTCTAAATGTCTGCACGTTCATGTTCTGGAATAAATCTGTTGGCAAATTGGAAAGGAATAGATCCTTTGAAAAGGCTGTTAGAATTAACTGAGACTTGAGTTCTTGTAAAGGAATACAATAACTGACAAGTTATCAATGGAAGTAGAAACCCAAAGGAATGTATTGCAGCATCTTCGGGATTCCTATGAAAGCTTACCTTTCTTTGAAGGAAACAACAGAGCTATATATTTTATCCAGAGTTACCAAATTGGGGATTCAGTTCAATCCTAATCACCACTATATGACACCTAAGATAGAAAATTCCTACTCTTTGATATCACGTGGTGGTCAAATGACGTTTTGCAGATAGATATGCTGCATTCGGTACAACTATTTTTCTAATGAGCTTATCTGGTGAGGGAATTGTCCTATAGATCAGGGATCCCCAACCCTCCAGTCCGTGGACCAGTACCGGGCCACAGCATGCCAGCAACCGGGCCGCACAGACAAGCAAAAAAGCCCCATCCGTGGGATGCAGGCAGCATACAAAACCACACACCCTCCGGTCCGTGGGAAAATCCTCTCTCCACGGAACCAGTCCCTGGTGCCCAAAAGATTGGGGACCTCTGCTGTAGATTACAGGCAATAGAGGTAGTCCTCGGTTTACAACTGCAATTGAGCCTGGAATTACAGTTATATATATATATATGTTGCAAGTAAAAGATGGTTTCTGGGCAAAAGTTTTTTCTGTAAATGCAAGCCAGTTGCCAAGCATCCAAAATGTGATCATATACTCCCTGGCCATCAGAACTGAATCCAGTTCATAAGTACCTTTTGAACAGTCGCTAAGTAACCAGTTGTAAGTCAAGGACTATCTGTAGTTAGTTTAGCTTTTTATAAGTTATCTTGCTGGGAATCTGCCTAAGGGCAGATAGTACTGTAATAAATAAATATACTTAGCTTGTATTTCCTATGATAACAACCATATAGTGGATGTCTTGTGCATAGAAAAATCATGCAGGCATTTATGTCTGTATATTTTCCTGTGCACAACTTGTGCTACTTTTTGAAGATAACCTAGATTCCCTTTGGTCTCTTAGGTTAATAAATGTGTGCATTTAAATTATTTTGAGAGGCTTTATAGGGTAGAAAGCCCTTTAAAAATAATTTATAAGGCAGGAATGTAGGAATTTACTTCCTCACCCTTTTGTCTTTTGACAATTGTAGATACTGAGTTTTTGTTTCTTTCAGAAATGTGCATGTAGTTGAATTATATTTAGTCAGTGCATTAGTTGATAAACAAGAAGGCTTTTTGTTCAAGATGCATGATTTTTGCATGGTGTGAATATTTTAGGAATCTTGACTGATAGTATTTTTCTACAGCTTTTGTAAAACGATTGCATCTTTTATTGCTATTACCCTTGTTGCTAATAGTGATAAATCAGGCATCTAACTGCTTATTTTTAGAAGCACATTATTAAAAGTATTTCTTTTAAACAGTTGAAAAAACTTAATATTAGTTTCACTGACTAATCTCCAAAACATTTGAAGACGGTAATGTATATCTTTACAAAATCAAATGCTTCTTTGCATGAGGCAATAGGTTGATGACATTCTTCATGTCAAAGCTGTTCTGCTTGTTTTTGCAGATTTCTACAAAGGAATGTAGGTCTCGCTTTGTTTGTTGTTTTGTTTGGGGTTTGGGGCCTCTGAGTTGTCCTGGCAATTCCTCCAGAAGACTTTTTAAAATGGAAATTTAATGAAAAAGTGTTCTTCATACTGAATATTTTCTCAAGTACATATATGTAGCAGCAAAAGAATCTTTGTTAGATCCATTAGTAACTATAAATTCATGATGAACTATTTTAAGTTCTGCTTATTATTATTTGCAATCATGACAGACATTTTGAGCAAAGTTTAGCTTGGAAGGCATCATGGTGACAACTGGGTGGGTGAAGATTCATTTGTGCAGGATCACTCCTTTGGGCCTTGCCCAGAGAATTCTTATTTGGATTAAAGAACAATTAATTTGAGTCTTAAAAGATATTAAGAAATCATTCTGAGAATGATTTTTTAATGAATCATCTGGTTGGAAGACACTACTTAAGCTGTTGACTCCAACCCTACTCCAGTGGTGGGATTCAAATATGTGAACAATCAGTTCTCTGTGTGGATGCAAATGAGGCATTTTACATGCGCGCATGTGAGCGTGCACTGGGCCGTGAACACCCGCACAATGCAAATGGGGCAGGGCTACCACCCGTGTGATACTCACTAGGCCTGCCCCATTCTTGCACAGCATAGTGCCCTGTTTCTGCACTCCATGGCATGGACCGCCCATTCTTTGTGCCCCACAGTGTGGCACCAGCCCATTTTCGCGCCCTGTGGTGTGATAGCATCCTGTTTTCATGCCCCGAGGCGCGGTGGTGTCCCGTTTTCACACCCCACGGTTGCGGTGCTAGCACAAGTGGGGTGTGTGTGTGTGTGCACGCACTGGCCAGCCTGTCCATGGCCCAGTAGCCAGAAGGCCACGGCCCACTACCGGGCCACAGCCCACAGGTTGGGGACCCCTGCTTTACAGCACACATTATGGGAAGCTTTTCAATAAATTGCACAAGTTTTCACATGGATTTTTTTTCTCTCTGATGTGGAAACGGGCTGAAATGGATTCAAGGATGGAAAAATGTCAAACCGATTCAAAGTGACATCGATATATATAATAATTCTTGTTGAAAATATCTACGTGCAAACTGAAGCAACTTCCTCTTGAGTAAATGTACTGCAGAAAACTTGCATTCCAGACAGCTTTTGCATCCTAGAAAGACCTGAGATAATAAATCAGTTCCAACATCAGTACAAAAGAAATACTCTGTGAGTTTTGTTTAAGGATCATGGAGGATTTTATTTGCCCATGTTTAAAAATAGACTGACTCAATTTGAACTTCCTGGGCTGCTGTACAGATTGGGACACAATGATTCTTTGAAGTTCCAACTTTTGTGAAGCAGTTGCTGCTTAAAAAAACTGTCTACAAAAAGTATATATTAGTTAGGACATTTGTTTTTAAATGCTTAGGAAAAAAAATGCATAGAGAGCATGTGAGAAAAGATGTCTCTTAAAGTACCGTAGATACAATCTTTGTAGGGTTTTTTTTTCTTAAAAAAATGCATAATGCTGTATAAAGTTTTGACAAATCACGTAAAAAATTAAAAAGTTATAGACTGAACTGTAAATCCCTAGATTTTAATTCATGGAATGTGAAACAAGGGGATGTTTGCATTTCTCATCAGGCAGTAAGGCCTATTCTATTCATCCCTGCCCTAATTAGACTGAAAAATAAACATGCCAAAATTTTATATATTATTAATCATGGATAGGACATTTAAAATCTTCCTAAACATTCTGCAAAAAAAAAAGTGATGTTGATCTGTTTAAAAGATGAGCATTTTGAATGGAAATCATACATGATGTTTCTGATTCCATCAGGCATGAGTTCAGGCTTGGGAGTGGCTAGCTTATCCCACAGAGTCATAATATC